TCGTGATGGAGCGAGATAGGTGGAGAGTGCTCCGCCCTTATTCCCGGTGCAATGGTGCGAAGGGGACCGGGGTCCGCCCGTAAGGCCGCCAGTTCATGCTCTTTGCGTCGGGGGTTGTTTTCCAGCCACCATGGAGGGGTCGTGGGCGCCCGTGCTTCGTGAGCTATGATGCGCCCTCTTGCCTGGTGGGGGTGGGCCGGTTGATGGACGGGTGGGACCACGTAGGGTCTGGCTCTCTTCGGTGTGGCGCTGGGTCTGTGGGACTATGGGTCGGTGGAGCTGCCAACGTCCGTGTGTGGTGGTGGATCTGTGCAGCTGCTTGCCGCCTGCGATGTGTTGGGGGGTTTGGCTTTAGCTGCTGCCTGGTGCAGGGTGGTGGGTCGTCATCGGGACAGGTGGCGGCGGCTTTGGTCTGGACGGCGGCTGTCGTGCTGTGAGCGTGTTGCACCTGGCCGCTCCAGATGCAAGTGGTGGCTGTCGCGGCGGCCGGATTTGGGCGGATGGGCAGGAGGTGTCTCTTGAGCAGTTCTGCGCAATCCGGATGGCTTGCTCGAAGGGGTGGAGCCACCTAGCTGGTGAGGTTCTATTGGGCTGTACCCCATATGGCCAGAGCCCCAATCTTTCAAGCTGGATTTTCAGCGCTCTGTTGGTGGCCCTGTTGGTATATGCCTTGTCTTTCCCGCACCCTCTCTGGATCTGGGTTGTCTGGTGGGTTGCTCTCCTGCTTCTTGCTGTGGGTATTCAGCATCCGTCAGCTCTGCATCTGGTTGTGGAGCTGCGGTGGCTTCCGCCTGGTGGCAATGCTGTGTTGGGCTCGCCCCGCGGTGTCTGGTGATGGTGGTGCTTCTGCTTGGGCCTGCTGCGCCTCGTTGTCCGCGGTCACTGGTGGCGTAACATCTGTGGGTCTCTCGCTGGTTCCGGTGGGGTCCGGTGGTGGTGTGTCGCCTAAGTGCCTTGGAACTGGAGTGGGGTAGCTCACGGTCTATGTACAAATCTGGCAGGTCCCCAGCGGTGAGCCAGTAACATGTATTCAGGCTCCCGGCGGGGGTCTAGGGCCATGCTGCGGCATGCCCGGCTGGTGACGTGGTTGTGGTGGGTCTGTGGAGGCTGCTGGAATTGCCCTTGCTGAGTCTGGCAATGGAGGTGGCGTGTCTGGTGTCTGCTGTGTCTGTTGTGCAGGTCTGTCTGTCCCATTAGCTGGGCTGCTCGCAATGGAGTATGGTGGTGGTTGTGATGGCACCGGCACGCCTTGCTGGTGGGTTGTGATGCTGGATCTGCGGAACCTGTCCCTGCCGCATCCTGTAGCGGGGGCTGTGGGTGGGGTGGGTTTTGGTGGTGCTGCGTTGGTTGTTCTGCCCCGCCGGTTGGCTGGTGTGTCAGCGTTTGGCCCGGCTGGCTGTTTTGTTGTGCATACCACCCGCCATCAGACCAGACATCCTGGTCCGGGTTGTATGGCGGTGCGTAGTATTCTTCCCATGGGTTGCGTCGTCGCCATGGTCTGTGTGCTTGGTCGGTTGATGTCCGGGCACTAAGGCTGAGGCTTGATCTGCATGGGCTGCTGTAGCTGTATGTGTTGCTTGGGCTGCTGTGCTGTGGGCGTCGGTAAGCTGGGGGCTGCCCCCTCTGTCTCTCTCTCTCTCTCTCTCTCTCTGTCTTTTTCGCTCTTTCTCTCTCTCTCCCTGTCCCTCGGCATTCAAGTCCCGGACCAAAGAAATGTGTGCGTCCAACCAGGCTACCAGCCCTTCCCTGTTTTAGTTTTCACCACTCGGGATTTGCGGGAACATCTCCCATTCTGCTCAACTGGTCCACATGCCAGCGGCGCACTTTTCGAGCAGCCCGGCAAGAGCCGCACGGCCTGTCTTCTAACGAGCGAAAAAAGGAAGCCCGGAAAGGCCTGCGCGTGCCTTGGATGGAAACCTTCGTGGAATTCATGGTTTCCGAGATCCGAAACATGCGATCCTTGCAGCCACCATCACCTTCGGAGCGCCGAGCTCGAAAATTGCGCAGGGCAGCTTACCGTCGAAGACCAATGCAATGCAAACAGGCTCTTGATCGAAGTCTGACTGCAAATTCAAGCCCGCGATAGCCGATGGCGTCGCCCAGCTGATGATGCAGCACCGATTTCCGGCTTGGTTCTGCCATCCTCCAAAGACCAAGGTCGCCCGCCTATTGTGACCCGAACCAGCACCGGAAGCCTGGCCCTTTTCCGCTTTCATCAGCCGATCGCTAAGCTCTTGCAACTGCCTCTCCACATCTTCGAATTGGGCCCCTGGTTTGCGCGCTTGGTGTCCATTTCATCCATACGATGCAACTGTCGCGGCTCAAATTCCCCCAAGGCGCCCTCAAGCTGGCTTGTCTGAGTTTGAGACAACCGACATCGGAACCAACAACCCCTTTTGCCCGTTTGCCGGGGCGTCAGGCTCTCGGGCTGCGCGTGGCTGCTCGTCAAGGTGCATTTCAAGCCCACCAAGATCACCCGAATAAGACCCTCCCGCCGGATCAGGACGCAATCTCTCGAATTGTGTAGCACAGGAACCCAGGGCCTCGAGGATTGATCACGGACGACAGGATCCTGGAGACATCGTGCTCCGCCCACACCAAAGGAAGGCCTACCCACGGGCAGCTCGCAAAGACTTTTCGAGCCTTGAGCACGGTTTCAGCCGCGAACGGAAACGCATAATGGAGCTGCAAAGCAGTTCAAAGCACTACTTGTGTCCGCTTTGGGTCTCCCTGCCCTCTTCCCGTCGCAAAGCAGCACAGCGGGACCCACATTTCGTTGAGTGGAAGTGGTCTACTACTTGTGGCTTTCAGAACACCGCAACGATGATGCTGAGCCTGGGCAAGCCCTCTTCGAACAGGCCTGCACAAGAACATAAGGGAAATGTCGCCCAACACACCGCCTTTTCTGCCACTATTCTTGCAAAGACTTACCTCAAGCCCTGGGTCCTGCCGAAGGTTGCGGGTCATATCACTGAAGCACCGGTACCTGCAGGCTTTGAGTGTCGCATGGCCCATGGACATCTATGCTGATTACATGTTCCGAGATGTGCCAGTCCGAACGAAGGACAACAAAATGCGAGTGTGCCAGAAATTTGGGACAGCTGCGAACCTTTTCAGCGGGGATGCGTTGCACAACATCATCGACCCTTGATACCCCATTGCAGATTGACACATCCAGCAAGAAGCTCCCAAAACCCAGCGACGGGACGAGGACAACACGAACAAAACAGCGCACAGCTTGGAGCAGTCCCCGCTGGGATGCTGAAGACGTTCACAACCGACAACAAGCCGCGACGTTAAGAATTGCAGCAGTGACAGATCCATGACGCACGGTCGTGACGTTCTCGCCTGAGACTTCTCCATGTTCTGACTAGACAGGGCCTCCTTAGCAAACCCAGGACAAAGAGCACATCCAACTGCCACAGGCGCGAGTGCTTGTCGTGCGAGGTCCATGGTTCATCCCTTGATAAGTGTCCCCTGACTACAGTAACTGGTGAAAGAAGCAGAGAGACCGAAGCATCAAAGCAGGGGCGACCACGCGGAGCCAGAGGCGCCAGTGGCTCGGCCCTGGTCGCAAACAATCTGAACTTTTAGCAGAATGCAAGTGATCTGAATCTCAATCTCAAAGACACATTGCTGAAGGACACCAACCCTCTAAGTTCACATGCTCCGTGTGTACGTTCATCGACCACTGGCCCTTCGAAATCTAGCAAGGACTGCTGGAAGCATGCGCTCAAGCTGCTCGGCTTCTGGCGCGGCTACCACTCGTCGAAGTGGACATCTGACAAGGGCCGTTCTACCATCCCTGTTACAATCAACTGACTCAGCACGAAGACAGCAAGGCACAGAAGCTGCAAGCATCGCGAGCATACAGGCACCAGCCCACCACTAAGATCCACTGTGAAACCGGCACACAGGACATGAAAACTGAGAATTCGAAGCTTCTCTCTGTCTGTCTCTCTCCACAAGCCGGCCCTATACTGGTAAGCCCTGCAGGCCATCTGAAGCACAGCACTGCCGAAAGCACGGCCTTGGGGTTTCGGCCGGATCCTGCCGACATGGTTTCCCAAAGGGAGATCTTCTCCTGAACCTTGGATGCGTTCAAGTGCTGCTTTTTCTAGTTTCAGTGCTCAGGCAGGTGGCCTTGTTGGCCAAGTCCGAGGGCTGCATAAAGTGGCGTTAGCCCTGAAATTTCCGAAAACTAGCCCGAGGAGTGAGCAGCAGAAGCAAAGATATGATTGAATACCACTGGCCCTTCAAGATCTCCCAAGACAGAAGAGGATTTCGTGAGTTCAAGTAAACTGTTCTCTGGTTGGGCATTTCCACAGCAGCAATTGACTTTCTTGAAGAACCTATGAGGCGTGTGTGATTATACATAGATTACTTAGATTACAGTGCTTGCAAACCCGCGCCCTGAAGCTGAAAGCTTGTCTCGCACAAAGCATAAGGCTCCAGCGATGGATGCGGCGCCTGGTAAGCCAAAGCAACTCACCACGGTCACAAGCAGACAGACTTTGTGACTGTTGAAGACCCTGCCAGTCTTCCTTACGTCGTTCTTAATACACCCCGACCCTCCAACCGTCCCTGCGAGTCGGGAAGAATCAAGGGGAGCTGGCCCGCCTTCACGGCTGCCCAAAGCCTGGTGCTGAGAGTCAACGGGCTCAGCACAGGGTTCCGCCGGAAACTCGATTCCCGAAGCCTGAAAACAGCCATCAAAGCAACTGAGCGATTATCTCAATGGACCGCACCGCTGCTTCCAGAAGGTGGAACCACAACTCAAACCCACGAGTGTAGATAGGCATGCCAAGCCTCAGAACGATCGCCCATCTGCACGGACTTGCGACGTGGAGCTGCCTGCAAAGAGTTTGGGGCTCACTGCCCTGGAATCCGAAGCACTACAGACACTGCTTCAGCCGCAACTGATCGTCTCCCTTCCGATACGTTCTAGCATGGAACAAGAGTCTAGTCGGGGTTGGTCTTGCGCAACGAGACTGCAAGCTTCACTCAAACCAGTCCAGCAAGACGAAGCGATCCTCAAATTCGCAGCTGGCAACGGTGCCGGACTCCTCACTGATTGTGTACGAAGTAGGGATGCAGGAAGGATGTCCTGGTTGAGAGCAAAGGAAGGGTTGCCCAGATCGGTTGAGCTTCTTCGCAGAAAAATACTTCTCAGCAGCAAAGCGCATTTGCAAAACCCCAGCTGCTGCGATGCTACCATAAAGATTCACTGCCAGAGGGAAGACCGACCGAGGAAAGTAAGGCTTGATCACGACGTCCATGTCAACTGCAAGGATTCCCACGTCCATGGGGTCCAAGAATTGCATCTCCACGTGCACACCACCACCTCGAGCAACGTAGCTTTTGGCGGACAACCACCTGAATCCAGCTCTCGTCAAGCTATCCAAAGCTTCACTCCGATGCTCCGGTGAAAACACTTCGTTGATCCACTCCACAGCGCCAGGTGTATAAAGCCAGATGTCTACATCATGATCCCAAGGAATGGGCTCCTCCAAGTTGCGGAGCAGAGACAAGCCGGTGCCATCTGCCGGCACCACATAGTGGCTTGGAGACAGCCCAGACCACCAGGCCGTCAGCTCGCGCCAAGCTTTCCGCAAGGACCGGCGAAAGCACCAGGAGGTCACCATGCCAGCAGTGCTCATGGTAATGGCCGAGGTGTCACCCCGGAAATATTCGTCCACCATCACTGTTGCTGCGCGTGTCACGGCACAGTTTACAGACAGCTCTCCGGGTCGCAGTCTGGCGACTTCGATGGCATAGCGCTGGGAAAGGTGGGAGTTGAGCCTTGCGTACTGCAAGTAATCCTCTTCATCGAAAACCCCGACAGCACAGAGGAAGGTCCGATGATTAATTCCAGTCTCCAAAGCCTCCAGGTCCAGATTCAAAAGCCACTCTGCTCCAGATGCAGCCTTGACACCCTGAAGCAGTGTCTTCAAGACCGATGATTTGTAGACTCGAGACCCCGAAACTGTATCGCCACCATGGCACAGTTTCGACCCTTTGTCATCACCGATATGGTGCCGGGCGGAGCCTGTCGGATACTCCACAGCTTGCAGTTTCCAGTACTGCCGCCGCAACCGCCGCAAAGGCCAGGCAAATGTATTGCCAGCACTGGGCAGACCAAGAACAGCCAGCTCCGGTGAAACCAGCTGACTGAGGCGCCAAAGCGCAGCCGAGTGCATCTGCAAATGCCAGCTACGCAGGTAGGGGCTCAATACAACCGTAATATTTCCCAAACGTCGCTGCGCCTGTAGCTCACGCAGAGACACATCCAGCTGCCCAAAGCAGGCGCCAGGATCTTCTGCATGACGCAATATGACAAGCCAATCGTACAAATCTTCCATGAGCTGTAAGCTGTTTAGGTCACCGGAGTTGACCTCTCCTTTGCCGTTGGTTCTTGGGTAGCAGTGCACTAGTGCCACGCTCTTGCTAACGGCCGGGCAGCCCCGGGGCAAAAAGTGGAGCAGAGAAGAATCCCCTTGCCAACTGCGCAGGCGAAGGGCCAGAGAGTAAGCGTCCACAGGGTGCTTCAACTGGGCTTCGCGCTGGACGTAAGATCCCCCGGAGCTGGAAATTTCCAGCTTGGAAAGCAGGGGCAGGGTTCTGAGTCCAAGCCCACTGTCAGCCATCAGGTCGAAGCTGGCGTTGAAGTTGGCGCTTCCGGCCCCGGCCCCGGCCCCAGCAATCAAAGAGAACAGCATCAGGGCCGTGACTTTCGTGAGTTTCTTGAAGGGCAAGAAAAGAATCCTCCCAATGCTGCCCTGGCTCAACTGAAACGGAACGGCTTTGCCCAATTCGCCCTGGCAGCGACCCAGCCCCAGCCGAGTCGGGGCCGTTTCCCCACAACAGCGCTGTGGCGTGAAAGACACTCCGTCGAAGCACTCAGGGTCTTTATAAATGCAGCAGCGCTCGAAGTTGTAGAAGTTCGAGGCATCCTGGAAGCAGGATGGGTCCCCAAAGTAGGGGGCCACTCTCGCAGCCCCCGGGCAGCAGAAGTCGAAAGTGTAAGGTGCTTCAAAGCATGCGGAATATTGCCACAAACAGCAAACATCAAAACGGTAATGATCTCCAACAACACATGCAGGGTTCATTGGTTGCTAAGCGTGGAGCGCACATGGCCACGGAACGCCAGGCACGCCTGCTTGTGCCAAGCTCTTCGAGACGCACATGAGCAAGCATGGGGTAAATCTGTTCGCAAAATCGTTTAACCCATGCACATCCGCTGCTTGAAAGTCTTGCTAGCAGCTGTAGCATTCTCAGCGGAGAAAATGGGATGGAATGTCTGCCGTTCACAACAGTAATACATCCTGATTCTGGGCGATGCATCTTTGAGCCCATGCAGATGACTCGCACTCGAACATGCACCATTCAGCATAATGTTGCTGTATAACACTCATATCTGATGGCTTTCCAGCACTGTATAGTTGGTCGGGGTGAATCCGACAACGGTGACTACAATCGGGTGAAAACCGGAACAGTTCGGTTGGAAGCTTGCTGAACCCCTGGGAAGCCACCACTTGGCCCAGGCCCCCCCTTTTCAACCCAGAAAACCCACAAGTCTGCCCGTACGCCTCCTGAAGAGGTCTCTCGCTTGGCTGCGCCGACCTCCTGCGAGGCCTCTCCTCGAGCCGATCCGGTTCAAGGTCCGGGGAGGGGGGATCTGCTTGCGGGGCGCTGGCGCATTCATCTTTGCACAAGTCCTTACACCCGGAACCTTTAGCGCTGATAGCATGATACGAACATTCTCCCAAGCGAACCACATAACACAACTTTTCGGGACATGGCACTACGTAGCACAATGAAACACAAACGGGCAAAACACGATTATGAGTGTTTATTTAAAGACCGTTTAAAGGGTAAACCTTTGATGAGGTATCTCTTTGTCTGTGGAGCACGAGTAAAATAATTGTATATTTCTGTTATTCTGCAGAAACTGTGATGTCTCGGGCAACAGGGTTGGGCTTTGGCCGAAAAGGTTCTAGAGCATGTCCGTATGCACAACATCGCCTCCCTGAATCTTGGATTTGGTGTTCATCACAGAGCGCTGCAGGCGAAGCCCACACAAAACTCTCACGTTTTGCGCGCAGCGGCTGAAAGGCTCGTTTGCCCAAGTGGGCTCAGGGGGCGGGTGGGCCCGGGTGGGAGGGCCTGCCTACGGCAACTGCACAGCTGCCCTATACCTACAGCGCGGACGGTCAGAACCCTACGCACGCCAAGCTGTACGAACGAATTCATCACAGAGCGCTGCAGACGAAGCCCACACAAAACTCTCACTTTTTTGTGCGCAGCGGCTGAAAGGCTCGTTTGCCCATTTGGGCTCTCACCCCTGCCACAGGGCAAAGCCGGGCACGGAACGCGCCACGGCTCTGAACGCTGTGCACGAAGCGCAGCCTCAGCGATACGGGGGAGAGGCGAGGGAGCCAAAGACCCCGGCGCGAATCGCGCCGCAGGTCTGCCGCACGCAAGCGAAGAGGAACTCAGCGAGGCGCCAAGCCCGTCTTCGCTATCCGACGAGAGACGTCTTCAGTGTCCTCTGTCGAATCATAGGTCTGAAAGCTATCCGATGACCACCTTCCAAAGCGTTTCACGCTGGAAAAGTTCCCACAGGCCGACCAGAGAGACGAAGCTCCCCTCCGGCTCACCGAGAGCTGCGGCCGCCTTCTGGAATAGAGCCGTGATCACTGCCCGGGGCAGTGGCTTGCCCTCTGCATGCCGGTTAGCGGAGTGGAAAACCCGGAACAGTTCGATCGTGGACTGCACTGGGCATATGTCCAGTCCGGAGCGGAAGTGGCTTCTCACCTCTCCCCTGTTGCAACGTCTGTCTTGGATCCGCGGATCGTGACAGACACCCCGTCCGCGGAGTCGATCTCACCGTAGCTGCAAGGGCTCCGTTTTTGAAGAGCCGCACATCGGTTCCCCTAATTCCCCTCTCCGTTGAGACGTATCCCTCATCGAGGTACTCTGATGCTCTGAGCAGAAAGCAAAAGGCGAGGGAAAAGGAGGCCGAATGGAGCGAGGCCTCCTGCTCCGAAAGGTGGCCTGCCCAAAGGTGGGCTCGGAGCCACCTCAGCATGGCCGGGGTAACTGGCTTCCTCCTCTCCTCAGTGCCGTACCTGTTCTTGAGGCAGGCAATAGCCAGGGTCACCTTTGCCATGTTAGCCGTCAGGATTTGGGAGGCCCGCGGTCACGTGGTAAGCCCGCACTGCAGCGAGCCTTGACTTGACTGTCCAAGGGACTTGTCCAAGGGCCTTCTCAAAGTTGACACCGCAATGCACTACGAACTGCACAAACAAGTCCTCTTCCACAGGCCGTATCTGCCCCCAAGACCGGTCCAGAAGCCCGCCACAGTCCGGGGTGACACCTTTCGCGGTCCTGCCAAGGATTCTCACAATGAAGAGCGAGAGCCAATCCTGCGAAGAAAAGGGTTAGGCCCATGAAGATGGGCCAAGGGAGGCTTCCCCCTAGGCCGACAGGGGGCTGAAACTGCGTGTACGGGTGGTTATTGCCTCTGTGCGCTTCATCTCGTTGCGCACCCGATCTGTGGCCGCGAACTACGTGTGGCCGCAGTTGGGCTGCCACGAGCTGGGGCAGCGTCTAGCATCACCACCTAAACGAAAGCCTTGCACCCATGCAGCATCGAGCCTGACCCGGCAACCAACGCTGAAGCGGAACTCGGGCCCCTTGCGCGCCTCTCTGCGGCGCTTCTTCCGCGCCTGGGACTCCTGACGTGCTGTCCCCTCTCGCAATGAGGTTCCTCCTGAAGTCGGAAGTCCTCCTGAAGCTGGTCGTCAAGACTGCCAATAAGTGCTGAAGGTCAGGTGAGAGGCCACGGTCCTTCTAAGTTCTCCCACTTCTCGATGAGACGGATGCAGCTAATTACCCGTCTCCCGAAACTCGCAGCCATGCGGGTGTCTGGTGTTTCTGCGGATTTTGCAGGTGGAGGTCTCTGCGGTTGCGCAGCTACCCCGTCTCGCGGATGCTTTCGAACTGGCGCTAGGACGCACTCTGGTGGCACCAACCATCCTCGTCCTGTCACCCCGGAAATGGAGTGGCCAGACCATGCCGCCAACATCGGTCAGTCGTCGACGTCCTCCGACCAAGTCACCCTCCACTTGCACTTCCTCTTCACAACAGCACGGAGCAGGGCTGCAATCCTCGGGAAGCGAAGGGCGTCTTGGGCTCTCACCCACCTGTCCTCAAAGATCGGGCAGTCAGCCGTCCCTGGAGTTGCGAAATCGCTTTGCTAAGCTCGACCTCACGGTCCTTTCGGGGACTTGCCTGAGCCTTCTTGCCACCGGAAGTGCGGCCTCTGCGGGGATGATGCCGAGCACGTGGCATGGTAGCCGCGGCGAGTAGAGTCTAGTGTGCACACTAGGGAGAAGGGCTCACCTCGTTCTAAGTTGCGAGTTGTCCCTAACCAACGCCTGCTATTGCCGCCTGCCCTCTCCTCTACAAGGCCACTCGCCAGGTCACCAGATTAATCCCGTCCGTTAGGCGGGAGCTTCAAGGGGAGGACTACAATTGTGGATCCCTGCAAGTTGTGAGCCAAGGCGAACTTTCGAGATCACACCGCGGAGCTGCAGAGAGCCTGAAATTATTTGGCAGGCGGCCTGCAGGCGCAGCACGCGGGAGTCCCGGTCAGCGCTCTTTGATGCCAGCTCCTTGTTGCCTTTTTCCTTCTCGACAGGAAGCTCTTTACCGACTATGTGACCATGTGATGTTGCCCAAGTCGCCGCTCTGTTCAAGCCGCGGTATATTCAATTTGACGTTGGGATGGATCTCCGCCAGGGCCGGTGTATGTCTGATGTCGGGACGATCGACGGAAGGTCTGCAGTGGACTTCGAGCAACGTGTCCGCCAAAAACCAACTTTCACCCAAATCAAACAGTGAAGGGGCGGGAGAGTGGGTCATCAAGTTCGGCAGCACAGAAGCTTGATGCAGAAGGCGTGGGACAGTGGAAAAACTGCGATGCGGGGAAATGTGCGCACTACAACGGGCGCCTCATGGGCCCAACGACCAAACCCCTGTACTCCCAATGCAAGAAGCCAATAGTGTTAACACATTGTTTGGACAATGAGTCTTATCCTGCCAAACGTCACAACGTGACGTGGCGCAAATGCAAACTCCCAAAGCCACCCCGGTTCTTGTCGCCTTAGCCCATACGACGAGCAACTGCACCGTATCCCACGGAGATGGATCTAGAAAGAGCTGCGACGTCGTTGCTGAAGACAACCCTCAGCCGAAGTCTAAGATTGTTCAGTAAGACCAACAAAGGCCGAACACGCGTGGGGCTTCCTTCGCAGAGGTTTCGGAGGCATTTGCTGAAGCACATAGATGCCGAATCTTTTGATTAAGCTGACGGACGAAAAAGCCTGAAGCCCTTAATCCCTCAACCCTAACACCCGTTACAAGCCCGGACAGCCTCCTCGCGCAGGTCCCGCAATGAGCCGGCACGACGGCGCTGGGACTGGCCAGGTGCCTGTGTTGTTGCTCCGTACAAGATGTAATGCTCTTTTTGTTTAAGGCTTTTGGGAGGATTCAGATTTTGCGTTTTGGGGCGTTGTTGTAGGGATCCTGGTATAGAGTGCCTCAAAGACCTCTGGCAACTTCTGGCAAACATCTTGGAAGGTCTCCGAAACAAAGTAAATCACTTCCACTACTCAAGAACGGTGCATTTTCCGCCGCAAAGCAAGCATGGTAAAATGGTGGGATTACGGTGAGCATTACTTGCAGTCTTCGAGCTTACATGCCACAAACGCCTGCAACAAACCATATCTGAACTGACTCGTTTTCCACCTCCAAGAAAGGCGGCTTCTGCTCACTTTTCTCGGCCTGGGGCGGCTGGTACGGAGTCGCATGATCTCCGACAATTGCCAAGCATGGCAGAAACCGCTTAGCTCTCAAGACGAGCAAGCCTTTGATGCATCAGAAGCGGTCGAGCCTGCGCAGCCAAGTTGTCTCTACTGGACACGGAGGGTTGCAGCACCTGCGAATGTCCAGCAGACATGAGCGAATCCTCTGCCTTGTCTTGGAAGGGTTTTTCCTCCGAGCATGATGGGTCGGCAGGACTTCTATCTAGCAGAACCAGGCATTTTATTCGCGACCGAGGGTCTGCTTGTAGATTGTCGGATAATCTAGTCTCAGGGCCACTAGCTCACTAGCTGCGGGCTTCTGTGCGTTTTTTCGGGACTCTCTAGAAGTCTAGAAGTAAACACTTGCTATCTGCATTGGGTCACTTGAATTTCATGTTGTTGAGGCAATGCGCTCTCTGTGTGGGATCAACCACATTCAGGCTGGGTTGAGCTGCAATGAACGACACTCAGGACCAGCGCAGGCTGCCCCTGCATCAGCAGTAAGACTCAAGACTGCGCGTTTGAACCGAACCGACGACCCACACCTGCCGAAATGGCGATAGGCTGCGTGCGCCTGAGAGAAGGTTGCAAAGTCATCTGAAGTCATCTGATTGTGGAGATCCGTGCACAGACATCATTGACGTGGTACAAATAGGTAGAATAGGATCCTTCTGTTTCGACACGTTGCACAAGCAGCGGCAGCTGGACAGTGTAGAAGAGATTAGAAGAGAAGAGTAGAAGAGACGAGACTGCACCAGGAAACTACATGCAATACACCTTATATACACATACACAAATAATACATGCATATACATCTACATATACATAAGCATATACACATACATCTACATGTACATATACATACACATATACATACACATCAACATCTACATATACATACACGTACACATATACATATGCATGTAAATATATACATATACATACACATACACATATACGTCTACATCTACATAGACATACACGTACACATATGCTATGTGTATACACATATTATACATATACATATACTGTTCTAACCGTTCAACATATACATACACATGTACATATACATCCATATATATATATAGACACATACACACATCATATGCTGTAGTATGCATATATGCATATGTATATACATATACCCATCCACACCTCTGTACATATAGATAGAAAGATAGCTAGATAGGTAGATAAATGTGCTCTCTCTCTCTCTCTCTCTCTCTCTGTCTCGCCCCTTCGAAATATATATATATATATATATATATATATATAGATAGATATATATATATATATATATATCTATATATATATATATATATTGGTACATATGTATGTATGTATGTACATACATGTATATATATATACATGTGTATATATATATATATATACATATGTATTTATGTATGTATGTATGTATGTATGTAACTATTTGCATATGTATATGTATACGGATATGCATATATATATATATATACACACATACATATATATATATATATATATATATGTATATACACATTAATATGTGTGTATATACATAGATGTATACATATACATATACATATACACATACGTACAGAAGGGTCGATCCTGGGGCTCTCCAGATATATATATATATATATACATGTACTAATGCATATATATATGCATGTATTTATATGCGTGGGGGATTGATCTCGACTTGGTTGCTGCTCTCCCCACCAGAGCTGTAATGTATGTAGGTGTGGCTGGCTAGCACTCTCCACAGACTGGACCCTGTCTCTCTCTCGTACTCCCACACGTGCAATCCTATGCAGGCAGAACCGGCGGCCGTTCCTTTTGCACTCACTGCCGGCGGCGGTTCGTCTGTGCAACGGGATAGCTCTGATTGCTCAGGATAGAAGACACATATAGCACTTAGCTAGGGGCATTGACTTGAGCCAAACGTTGCGTTGGCGGTCACATAGAAAGGTAAAGACGAGGGATGCGTAGCATGCCCCCTAGAGTCGAGGGACGCGTAGCGTGCCCCCTTCTCTTGCACTTTACACGGTCTTGCTCACAGCTCTTATAGTGACACCTTAGAACTTGACAAGGCATCGCAGTCCGTTCGCACCCCCCATGAGTTGCGTCTCCGACGCTGCTCACCCGGAAGATGGCACGATAGGACAACAGAAAATTCCGCCGCAACGTTGACATTGAAAATCAGAGCTTTGCATCCCAATTAGAAACGTTGTGACACTCATCTACGTCAGTAACGATCCCCTGAAATGACAAACGAATCAGGCGTCACCGAAGAAAGAAGCATTCGCGATGGCATTCC